TCTGTAAACATTTTTAGAAGATTTTACTTCGAAGATATTCAAAGAACCTTTAAGATTCTCTAGAAATTTGAATATAATTTATTGTTTGTAACAGTTCATTTCGTTTAGTTTACTGTAATCGTGAAGTGAGGAAATGTCTACTTAGTATATATTGCCAGTGGGGTTGGGCAAAATACTTAACTTACTGATGGCAGACGAGTATTAATGTTGTTGATAATGTTATCTTTCGAAATACAAACCTAATATTTTAAAAAACTTTGTCAGTTCAGCCTATTATAATGTCTTTTCAGGTCATATATATCGTTCTTACAGCAAGGAATAGCCATATTTATAATCAGAATACTTGAAATAGACACTGAAAATGTACTATGACATAAAATTTGATGTTGTTGAAAGTTTGATTATGTTCGTTAATACATTTTCCTAATTCATGTACTTTTCTTATGTTAAATATATATTTTAAACTAAAACAGACCTTTAAAAACAAAAATGACCATGAATAAGAAAAGCTGGATTTTAAATTCACATCTTGAATTATCAGCGCATACATTTTAATTTAATATTTGGATTAATGAGTCAATTGAATCTAAACTACCATTGAAAGCCTGCATGCAGTGGATGGCCGCTTCTTTCTAATGTGGGACTCTCCAGCAGTGCTTGTCCACGATCCCGCCTCCCATGAGATTCGAACCCAGGATCTATCAGTCTCGTGCGTGAGCGCTTAACCTCTAGACCACTGAGCCGGTCGGCATCCAACGGTGTTAATTTCTAACTTCAACCAATCCAAGAAATTGCGCCACCGAGACTGGTAGATCCTGTGTTCGAATCTCACGAGGCAAGATTGTAGTTGTGCACTGCTGATAAGTTCCGTATTAGGACGAGACGGCCACCTAGTGGTTTCAAGTTCTCAATGGTGGTCGATATTCAGTCGACTCATGAATTCAACTATTAAACTACTATAATATCTACATAACCCCTCTCTCAGTATACATTTTATTTTCATTCCATTAACGATGTTATTTCAGAATAAAGTAAACATAATTATATAATGGTAACAAATTGTAAATAATTTTTAACAAAATTGATTTTACAAAAATGTTTATTATTACGTAATATATTTTATAAATTATTGGTTAATTTTGATGGAGTTTTGTTCTTTGAGCTGGTTAGTTTGGTCTTGTTCAGAAAAGAAAACTCTCTCAAAATTATCTACTTGAGCTACAAATCTTCTACACCATCTCAATACTGGTTAATGTTTACAATTAGAAACTTTAAAAATTAAACTATAAATCGAATTGAATAAATAAATTAGCTTGATGTTGTTGTGTTTTTTTTATTGGGAAAATATTTTCCTATTTTCAATTCCTTTGGAAAAATAAGTAATAAAAGTTGAAACATATGATGAAATCCCCTTACATTTTTGTTCTCATTAAAAACCGAAATAATTTTATACGGTGAATCTGTGGTGAATGCTACTTATATTGACATAAGTAGTAGATGATGTTAGTCGTGAACTGAAGGTCTGGAATCAGAGAGACAAGAAGATCGAATAGTAAAGAATGGAAACAGAATGCAATTTGTATGAAAATGCAAGAACAATGAAGTCTGAGTCATTTTGAGACAATTGGTGGACATTTTGCAAATCAAGCATTTACTTTATGATTATTAGATTTTATTAAGAAGTCCTGTAATTTTGTGTTAAATACATTTGACTCTCCCCACCCGTGTACTGTTCACGGGTAGATCTAGCTCGCTCACTTTGAATATAATACTTTTTGATAATGCTAAGAATGTAAACTAGGAGGTACCCTTTTTTATTATTATCACTTAGCAAATAGTGAACTTGGTGTTGAATAGGAAAGATTGAGTCTTCAAATTTAATATATATTTTTAAAATGTGCTGTTTCAACTACGAATATAATGAAATCAGTATGTGCTAAAGGACTTTGGAGTACGTCTTAGGTCTTTTTCACTTTTTAGACGTTTTTCATCAACTTATTGAATTTTGATATCTCAAAGGTTTTCAAGATGTATCATATATATAAAAAAAAGTATATAGTTAAAGAATCCTTCAGTAAATGAGACTGAATGCCCTAGGTTCGAATCCCGCGAGCGTGCTCATGGATGCGCACTGCTGAGGACGAAACGGCCGTCCAGTGCTTTCAGGTTTCCAACGGTGATCTAATATCAATCGGTTCATGATCTCAATCGAAAACGTAATAATCTCCACAACCCCTATACTGGTAAATGCTTCAGTTGTAAACAGAATATAAACTAATATTAATTCCATTTGTTTCTCTTAATTCATACTTGAACGCTTTAACTTTCATGATTTTCATCAAAAATGTCCGCTTTAAAATTGATTGTTCAATCGTTAACAAATATGTAATCCTTCAGCTTATTTCAATATTCTTCATCTTTCTTCTCCGATTAATAATAAACTCTATGTGAAAGAAAACAGTTTGTAATATTAACTAATCGAATCTTACATTCTAATTGATGTGATCGATTATTACAATTTAATGATTTTAGTAACAGCTTGAAGTTTTCAAGGAACTCTTTTAGGACGAAACGACCGTCCAGCTTTAATTAACTCATGACATCAACTGTTAAAATGTTAATTTAGAATAGAATAATTAACTATGTTCTCTATGTATATAAATTTCTGAAGAAAAGTTGTAGCAACAAAAATATCACAAGCATTAAAGAACTGGAGAATTTCGCACTGTAATCCCTATTGATTTTGAATAAACTGCGATTAAGATCAAGTATGTAATAATCATATTATTTTTATTTATATTTATTTAAACACATAAACATTGGTACAACGAGGCACCAAATAGATATGCACCACTTAAATCATTCGACTTATGTGAAGGCTGAGATACTGGCAGGTTGCTCAAACCAGAGCAGGTGGTTTTCTTAGGGGGCACACCTGGAGCCTTCGAACTAAATGTCTAATCCACAAGGCAGCGGAGCAACATCAGGAGATGTAGTCCCATAGTAACCGATCATCAACGATCGGTTCATACTTTATTTATTCCTTCAGGATACTGGAGCCCGTATGCACCATTGGTTTTGAATCAGGGTTTTCCAGCTCTCCTAGATAGGACCTCGATTTCCACCAATCCGGTTAAAGCGCCGGGCATTTGCTTTCCGTCCTCTCAATTTCATTATCAACAGTAATGTCGCAGTGAGTAAGACTTCTCTGGCAGTGGTTGTATACATATGGCCATGTGAGAGCATTTCCAAAGGGAGGGCTGACTTCCCTCACTCTCAGCTGTACCAATACTAATCATATTAATTAGTAATAACTATTATTTTGCTTGATTTTTTAATTATTTTAATAGAAAAAATACTGTTTATTTATTTCATTGTCTTTTAAAACGTGATATTATCAATTTCTCCATTTATGAATTCTATTCCAGTATTTAAATTTTAAAAAAGATTATACTATTTGTTACTATAGTGATAAAAAACTAATCACTAGCTAAATAAGATGTGTACACATAAACTTATGCGAATAATAATTGTGGTTAAATGGTTTATATACAAATAGTTTCATAGGGGGAGATTAATTTACGTATAATATTTTCATTATATATTCTCTGATAGATTTTTTTATTGCCTAGTTGTACTGTAGTGAACAAGAACACCAGTGGGGACAGTCGAATGTATTTGTCACAAAATTACAGAACTTGTTAATAAAATCTAATAATCATAAAGTAAATGCTTGATTTGCAAAATGTCCACCAATTGTCTCAAAATGACTCACACTTTATTGTTCTTGCATTTTCATAGAAATTGCATCTTGGTTTCATTCTTTTCTGTTTGATCCTCTTGTCTCTCTGATTCCAGACCTTCAGTTCACGACTAACATCATCTACTACTTATGTTAATATAAGTTGCACACACTACATTACCTTTGTTAAGTTTGTTCATTTAATTTCAATACTGATTAAAATATTTAGAATGAATTTCTTAAATCTATAGCAGTTTTTAAAAATGTCAACTCCTTGTGATGTACACATTCATAAAATACGTCAACGAAGTTTGGTTTTTTTAAATGTCTGGTTTCTTTTCTAAGTTTCAATCTTTATGAACAAACTTTCAAATGTTGTTTTAACACTAAATAAAAAGATAATGTTAGGTTTTTAATCAATAAGAGAGATGATAACTGAGATTGGATTACCATTTATGAAATAACTAATTCAAAAATATGTCATGATAGTAAAACAAATTCAGTATTTGAAATACTTAATAAAAGATTGTTTTAAACATCTTTATTGATCAGCTTTGATCATTTACATCTTATACAATAAAAGAAAAACCTACTATAATGAAGTTAAAAACAAAAGACAATTCAATCTTGGAGAAAAATAACTTAGATTATTATCAAATTTGGTCTGAATACAGACATAACGGATGAGGTTTTTTTTAGATTTCAGTAAATATGTGTTCCCAGAATAAAGACAAACTCTTTAAGTTTCATACATAGTATCGTCTTTAACTAAAATGTTGAAAGTAAACATTGTTAATCATGTAAACAGACAATATAGAACTATTAGTATTTATATATTGGAACGTTCATCTAAATAATCCATCAGACAGAATAGCCGTCAAACGTTTGGCAAAATAATGTCTATTAAATAACAATATACTAAACGCTAAACGTCGTCGGAAGTGAATGGATATGTAAATTTGTTTAAAGCCAAAAATATGTAAGTATATATCTCATTAATGAATATGAAAATAATTGATGAAGTTAGTAGTTACTTTAAGATAGTCCTAATCTTAAGTGTAGAGTAATCATAGTTACTATTTTGTATTTTAGATACTCCTGTTATCTACATTTATTACAACCTTGTTCTAGTGTTATTCATATTGATAAATAACTTAAATATCCTGTCGTTGTATTGTTCACTTTTTTAAAACAAAAACGATTATTATTGAAATTTGTTATCGTTTATGTCTATTTATTGATTTCTAACATGTAATAGGTATGTTACTTGGAGGATTGTTTCTGAGAAATATTGGTGGACTTTTGATTCCGGAACAGATTTACCATACAGGTCAATTACCAAGTGGAAGTGTTCCTTATGGATACAATACTACTTTATTGAATTCTACTTCTTACAATGAGAAGGAATATCCTTTTAATATAACTGATCCACGTACTCAGTTCGCTGCTCTTTTACTGGTAAATCCAGTTTTATCTGGAATTTTACGACAACTTGCTTTGACTACAATTCTAACTCGGGCTGGTTTGGGTCTTGATCCTCAAGCATTGAAACAAGTATGTGGTAGTGTATTTCGTCTTGCATTCATACCATGCCTTACAGAAGCGACATCTTTGATGCTATTTAGCCGTTTTTTGATTGGATGGCCTTGGTCATGGGGAGCTATATTAGGGTAAGTGTTAATTTTTTGTATTAAAGTAAGGTGGATATGTAAATAGTTTGATAGATTTCTTGTGAGCATTTGTCAAGTAGTCAATAAATTTGTTGCATGAAAGTTTGTGTTAACTATTATACTGCCTATAAAAGTTAACGTAAAAAATCAATTAAATTTTCTGTGAAATAAATTTCCGTAACATAAATATTGTAAATTATTTATTGGGTCAGTAATTCTTTGCCAAAGCTTGTCAGACTTAAAGTCCTTCGAACGGCTGAATTAGTAGACATCCTGATTAAAAAATAGGAGCTATGCGTACAAAATAAATATCTTCGATCACTTCTCCTCGCCTGGCCAACCTCAAGGCCAATTAATCAATAGTAATCTTAGCTATTGAATGACCTAATTACACTATTGTATTGACGACATTTCGTAGTCAAATGTAATTGTCTGTCATCATTATCCACAAATCTTTGTATTATTATTATTATTATTATTTTCACAGATTGAAATCATGAGTCAGTTGAAGCTAGACCACCATTGAAAACCTGGAAGCGCTGGACGGCCGTTTCGTTCTAGTATGGGACTCCTCAGCAGTGCGCATCCACGAACCCGCACCACCCGGGGCTCGAACCCAGGACCTACTGGCTTCGCGCGCGAGCACTTAACCATTAGACCACTGAGCCGGCATCCAACGAATGTTAATGTCTAACTTCAACCAATCCACGAAGTTGCGCTACCGTACACCATTGTCTTCAGTGAGTTCCTATCTCACAACAGACCTGGTTGAACGGTAACGACTTCGTGGATTGGTTGAAGTTAGACATTAACACCGTTGGATGCCGGCTCAGTGGTCTAATGGTTAAGTGCTCGCGCGCGAAGCCAGTAGGTCCTGGGTTCGAGCCCCGGGTGGTGCGGGATCGTGGATGCGCGCTGCTGAGGGGTCCCATACCAGGACGAAACGGCCGTCCAGTGCTTCCAGGTTTCCAATGGTGGTCTAGCTTCAACTGACTCATGATTTCAATCTGTGAAAATTTCTAAAAATCTCCACAAAACACATTCTAATATTATTATTATTATTATTATTATTATTATTATTACCATTATTATTATTATTACTATTAGTTGAACATCATTATTAATCTCCCCAATACATGATTCATTTACTTAGCATTCATTCCATCTTACTGTCTTTCTAATAATTTTGTGCACTAAGTAGTCTTTCACTAAATATTTGATAGAATTGTAATTGGACTATTATTTCTCTCACCCTATCTGACCCATATTTATTCTGATCACTTAGTCTGGATCATTTAACATTTTCGTTTAACATATAAGCTGATTCAAATTAACATTCCATACGGGTCATACAAAAACCGCCGTGCGTTTAATGATATTCAGCATTAACAATTTTATTTTATTTTAAATTCACTTGGTGTTGTTTGCTTGTATATTCCTATTGTTGCTTAGGTCTGCAATTGATCAGTCTCTTATTGGCATATGTGCATCTTGTATCGATTGTCTCGATATTGCCTTAAATCACAAGTACTATAGGTAAAGATGGATAGTGGCTAGCAGTGGAATCCAGGACACGTGTTTTGTCCTATTTGTGACTCGTCAGCAGGATGTACGTGCATCTCAGCATTGATGTCCACTCCGGTACTCGGTACCGTTCGCTTCAAACGCTATCGCCTCATCCACTTAACCATTCTGTTTTGTTTGACAATCCTAAATTCACATTCTTTAACTTAAACGATACATTTACCCTTATCCTGACCATTTTTTGGATTATTAATTTGGATATGTAATTGTAGAACCTGAAAAGAATCTATCGAAAAGAATATTCTTTGTTTAAATATCAGTCGTTTAATATGATGACGATCTTTAAACAAACAAATATCATTAATTATGCTATAAAAAGCGAATTAAGTTTTAACTTTTACGATGAGTAACTGAACATATATTGCGCTCAATATCTCCTTACTATTACCGAAAAACGGATCATATAGATATTCACAGTTGTCCAAGTTAAAGATGAGCAGAATATTTGAAAGATGAACAATAAGGCAACATTTATTTTGGAATCGTGTGATTATGAATTGTGAAATACAGGTACATCCAGCCAACGAGTCCCAAATAGGATAATACACGCGTCCTGGAATCCACTGTAATCCATCACCCATCTCTTCTTATATATACAAATATGTATATAAATATTTATAATATGAGTACTGCTGGAGATTCCTCGGTTGAAGTGATCTCCAGTCTCTTTTACTTCCGTGTTTCTGGTATCATACCGATCATTGTAAAATGGAACCGATTTCTATGATTTATTCGAGTAATTGAACTTCGTTCACTTTTCCTTGTAAGCGAACGTAAACGATGTAATTATCCAAAAGTTATCCCTTCATACTGTAAACAAGGGAAAGCTGTGAGAACAACTTCTATGTTTCAGAGATCATGTCTCTTATAATATTGTACTTCATTGTTTTCTTAAAAGAATCCAGTTTCAGGTCAGACGGCTATAAGAAATTCACAAAATAGAAAGCAGAAAGTATGTTTTTCATCACTTTGACATGAATACGCAAACTACACAGTTGGATTTTTCAACATTTGAAACTGGAGGGATTTACGTTTGATATCATTAAGTTACTTGCTATTAACGTAATAGTAGAATAAGATGATCACAGATTGTTACTTATTAGCCATAAACCAAATGTTCAAGAAATTTGAATTCTGAGAATTTTTTTGGATATCACGGATTAGTTGAAAAATGAAGAAATATCAGTGACATAAGCCTTTAAGAGACACAACCCGGTAGTTCATCATATTCTTTAAGCATAAAATTTACTTTAAAAGCATACAATCATTTACACTGTTTGATCAAAGACTGATGAGAAGAGTAATGTTTGTTTAGTTCTGATCAATTACCACTAATTAATCATGTATTTGATCACTGATCTAAGTGACCTTATATCTTGTGCACAATTTTTTTGAAATGTTAAGTGATTATCGAAGGGGGGGTATAGTGAACGATAACACATATAGAGACAACTGAATGTAACCAAATACAAAATTACACAATCCCTTGGTAAAAATCTATGAACTCATACAATAATAATCCATCAATGAAAATACAAAAAAAAACAAGAAATATAAGTATCTGAGTAGTAGTGGTTATCGTTATAAAATAGGAATTATCAGCATGGGGGTTGTGGAGATTGTTAAGTTTTTGGTTGAGATCATAATTTATTTAGATAAAGGGTGAAAATCAAAATTTCAGTAAGTAAGGGGGTCTAAATTACTTCTAAAGAATATCATTCAATTAATAGAAATATATCATATTAACCATAGAATAAACATCAACAAAACCCCTTCTGATATGAATCAACATATGCTCACTGGTGATTGGCTTCAAGTGGTATATCCTGGAGTTCTAGTAAGAAGCAGTGACCAATGCAGTTCAACCTAGTCTGTTGTGAGATAGTAACTCACGGATGATAATGGTGGATGTGTCACTCAATTTCATCAATTAGTTGAAGTTAGACATTAACACCGTCGAATACCGACTGGCTCAGTGGTCTAGTAAATAAGCATTCGCACGCGAGACCGATAGGTCTTGGGTTCGAACCTCACGGGGGGCGGTATCGTAGGTGTTCACTGCTGAGGAGTCCAATAATAGGACGAAATGGCCGTGCACTGCTCCGAGGTTTTCCATTGTGGTCTAGCTTCAAATAACTCATAATCTCAACCATTAAAAAGAATTAAAATTTGTTTAATGTTAGTTCAGAACAATGTGGGTTATTAAATTATTTATAAATAGACTCTTTAAGTAATCTTAATGTGTACTGAAGCGTGAGGTATATCATGTTCTAGTTATAGTCACAACTTTATGAATGACTGAAATCTTTGACAAAGGTTATTATAAATAGTCATATATATATAATACACCCACGTAATATTCTAATGTATCGGTTTATGCAAATTTACTTCCTTTGATTGAATATAATAAAAATTCTTTATAGTTTTAGAATGTCATATCTTTCAATAAATGTTTAACCACCTACAGGGAAAATTCATTATAAAATGTATCAATTTTGTCATTTATCTATTTCCTTTAGTGATAAAGATTTGTAAATGTGTTCTAAATCATTAAGTGTAAGTCATTATATGGAAGATGAATATGATTTAAGTAGTATATAACAAATAGTAGTATAGAGATGATTTCAACAACATGCCATTTCTATCTCTATATATACATACATCTATAACATTTGAATGAAAAGCCAGAATAAATCAAAGATTAGCTAAATCTACTTGTGATTTCATTCATCATAATTTATTTTAAACAGTAACGGAGTCAAAATACTAGACTACTGAATCTATTTAAATTTCTTAGTATTTATTGATAATGCAGTTTTATAGTAGCTAAATGATCCAAAGCTGGTTTCGTCCAACTCGAAGCTCGTCAGCTGGATGGAACTTCATCCCATAGTTGACATTCACTCTGAGACTGGAACTCAAGGCGTGTATTTCATCCCATTTGAATGTATATATGCCAATAACATACTAATCAATTGTAGTCTGTAACATCAATGGGAAGATTTAAATAACAAATCTAGAATGGAAATTTAATTGTAGTTTACACATAGTTGACCAAGAATTTTTAACTAATTAATCTAATCGGTAATTATGTAATATTATTACATAATCAGTTTGTAAAATAAGTCAGCTATTCTGTTCATCTGTTTTAGTATTGTTCATAATTTACCGATGGGTCCCGGGCTCGAATCCCGCGAGGAGGTGCTCATTGTCGAAGAGTTCCACAATGGGACGAAATGGCCATCCAGTGATTCGAGGTTTTCCATAGTGGTCTAGCTTCACTTGATTCATGATCTCAACTATTGATATTCCAAAATATCTTTCATTATCAAACATTTTAACTTTTGATATTTATAAAGTCATTTGTTAATTTGTTCAAAACCACCTCCGTATTTATTTTTACAGTATTACTAGCAACTATTTTTCATTGGAATCACTTATAGATAATCTATATATCACTTTCAAATTATCACTTAGCAATAATAATAGAACAGATAATTTAGCCAATTAAAACTTTCATTATGAATAAAAATAAAATCAAAATAGTGTATAGAATAATTTTAAAAGATTGATTTATATATATATATATATATATATATATATATATATATATATATATTAGTTCACTTTAACATGTACATATATCATTTGTAAACCCTCTATCCAATGTGTTCACCTATCACTGGCTATGTAAGTTTTTTGAGGATTCTTTTTTTTGGTTTTTAAAAAATCAATATTTCTACATTAGTTTTTATTTAATTTCTTTAGAGATAGTTATTACAACAGTTGAGATCATGAGTCGATTGAAGCTAGACCACCATGGAAAACCTCGAAACACTGCATGGCCGTTTCGTCCTATTGTGAGACTCCTGAGCAATGCGCATTTACAATCCCGCTTCGCGAGATTCGAACTCAGGGCTTATCAGTCTCGCGCCAGGCGCTTATTCACTAGACCACTGAGCCAGTCGGCATCCAACGGTGTTAATGTCTAACTTTAAACGACTCACTAAATTGAGCGACACATTAACCACTGTTTTCAGTGAGTTACTATCTCACAACTGATTCGGTTGAACTCCATCGGTCACTGCTTCTCACTAGAACTCCAGGATATGTCTCTTGAAGCCAGTCACTGATGAGCATATGTTGATTAGTATCAATTGACTCATGATCTGAACTGTTGAAATTACTACAATCTCCACAAAACCCCTTCAGATAGTTATTATTTAATAATAAATCAATTTCATTAAAAAGTCAATTAAAATTAATTATCACTTCTTATAATTTAAAAATTCATAAGTAGTTTCGATTAACTGATTATGTTATTTAATAGTTGAATTCATAAGTTAATTAAAGCTAGACCACCATGAAAAACCTCGAAGCACTGGACGGCCGTTTCGCCCTATTATGGGACTCCTCAGCATTGAGCATCCACGATCCAACCTCGCGAGATTCGAACTCAAGACCTATCAGTCTCTCTGAAGAGTTCCATACTAAAACAAAACGGCCATCCAGTGATTTCAAGCTTTTCATGGTAGTCTAGCTTTAATTGACTCATGAATTCAACTAGTAAGTTACTATAATATCCACAAAAACCTTTCTCTGATTATAATTACATTATAATGAAATTATGAAATTGTTATAACTTGTGGCCTGCGTGTCCTGTTAACGATAACGTAATGATACCGCCAATCAGAGAGTAGTGAATAATCGATCGGACCAATGCCGCGTAAAAACCCGTACAAACAGTCTAGAGTCCTGATTGCGCCTGCTTTCCGCCTAGCCCACCCAGTTAAGTCCAGAACACCAATCTCAGCCTCTGCAATATAAATCATTTATTTCAAGCATACTGGTTTTATATACCAACCAGAAAAACCACATCGTACCATAAAATATGAAACAACATTTGTACAAGATTTAGCCAAATGTGGCTGTGAACATGGGAGGTAGCAATCAATAGACACGAAATAATTCAAGAATGGTAAATCGTAAAATAATAGTTCATAGGTCAAAATAAATCTCATAATAAGAGGGACATGAATATGAATAGGTCAGTTATATAACGATTATAAGATAAAAATATACGCATATTATTGGTTCATAAATGGATCCCAAAAGTTGCCATTCCTTATTCTTATCAGGACATAACAGAAATATTATTGATTAGGTAATGAAATTTTTTAAAATTTTCCCAATGATTTCATTTTAAAAAATACTACAAGATTATATATTATCATAAGATAATTAATGTGATGATTAGTTGTTGTTGCGTTAGTATCTATACGCATATAGAGTAAAACTCCATGGAATGAAGTTTATAATGATGGGTAAAACAGATAATAAATAAATGAGTGAAATATTGATATATGTGAGATATATGATATCAATAAAAAAAACTACGTGATAAGTGATTTTGGTGCAACCTTTAAAGTTGATTAATCTAGACTATTCAATATGCTACTAGGAGTTGATTGACGGTGATCAGATAATAATAATAATAATAATAATAATAATAATAATAATAATAATAATAATTGTAATAATAATGGAATAAATGGAATGGGTGAATGTTAACGGAATATATTCGGATGTAAGACAAATTAAGTAGATTATTATTATTATTATTATTATTATTATTATTATTATTATTATAAGCTTTATTCAATATTATATTTTTGGTACAATATAGAATTCTCAGCGCAAAGTATTTCAACAAGTTTCCGTTTCTTTCTTCTTGGTCGGTCCTGGCGATAAATATTGAGGAATCGCCAGTTAGATGTTAGCACTTCAGTGAATGAACAACTGAATAATGTACATTCTTTTCGTTGTACATTGCCAGCAACCATATTGTCTCTTATTGAGTTTTCTGTAACTTTGACAACGAAAGGTTGTACACTTTTCAGAAACGCAGCAGAGTAGGTTATGCGATTAATAAACATAATGATATATTAAAACAAACAACAATAGATAACTTGTTGAAATATCTAGATGGCAGGAACAGGTAGCCCAGATGCTCAAGCAGGCCGCCCTATTTATTAGGAAAATATATGATGTTAAAATAGAAGTGATAATAATTATATATTATTTTTTTGATTGAGATCATGAACCGATTGATGTTAGACAACCTGGAAGCACTGGACGGCCGTTTCGCCCTCTTATGGGACTCCTCAGCTGTGCTCATCCACGATCAAGATCGCGGGATTCGGACCCAGGGCCTTCAGTCTCGCGCGCGAACGCTCAACCTACTGGAACACTGAGCCGGCATCCAATGGTGTTAATGTCTAATCTCAATCAAAAACTTAACAATCTTCACAAACACTAAACTGATAATTACCTGTTAATAAATGAAGAAATAGAATATAACAGAAAATATGGAAATATGGGGAAAACTGGCATATAAAAAGTAAATAGATTTGATAAATAAATCATACAAAAAAATACAAAAATGAATTGAAACTCCACCTCTTTGCACAAGCAAGTGGCTATCAAGATTCGGTAGCTAGGTGGATATCATGATGGTGTTTAGAGCGAATGTTACTGCGTTCGAATTCCTCACTGGACATTAACTCTAGGATGCAGGTACATCCAACTGACGAATCTCAAATAGGACGAAACGCGCGTCCTAGATTCAACTGTAAGCCACTATTCATCTTTGCTTAGATCTGACAAATTGGTTTTGTACACATGAATGTGGCTCCATAATGCCTATTAGTAATTGTTCTGTGATACAGAAGAGATGTGTCCAAACATTTTTCTAAAAATTCAGTTCAGACTTATTAATGATGCAAAATCTATAGTTCAATACTGCATGATCATAGTCGACTGTTTATTCCAGAGCATATTTTATAATTATACGTAGTCCTTTACTTGGCTAGATGACGTATTTTGAGACAGTTTTTATAAACAACCTCTATGGAACAAATAAACGTGTCTGTAGTTGGTCAGACTAAGTAAATTGAATTTACCGAGATGTCCATCAGTGGGCTGCTAGAGTAGAACACTTGCAATAAAATTGTACAAATATTTTCCACTCATAGCAAGGTCATTTAACATCATAGGATTTTATCCTCGGTATTACGTTCAAATCCCATAACAGTATATATGTACTCCTATCTTTTCATGATTTTTAAATGACTCCCGTTTCATATTTATTTCAGTCAATAAAAAAAAACTAGCTTCTAATGACTGAAGTTTCCCTTCTATTCTGCTTTCTGTGTTTATATTTATGATACATGAGGTGGGGGAATAAATGATATTTTTCTCTGTTTATAAGGATAAAGCAATGAAAATTCATTATCTGTCCATTCAACGTAGATTTATCATGAATGAACCTGTTTATAGTCTAAAGGTTTCTCCTTTCAAGTAGTATGTCTAGAAACGAGATCTTGCAATTTACTTTTTTTCTTCTAGAGGGGATTCAATGGATAAATGACAATCATTTAAACGTTTCTATCATATTAATTATCTTCAATAAAAACGATTAAACAGTTTTTGAAAGTGAATTCGATACAGGAAAAATTTTCATTGCTGACAAATGTGTTTGGTTTACTTAATAGCGAATAGATTATTATTCAGTTAAATACAATCTTACTACGTTTATGGAGCATCTCATTACTGTTAGTAGGAAAATTAGAAGTTAGGGTTAGTGATTAGAGTTTCCATAAATTAACACCATCTGTAATGCCAAAATAGCTGTTTTACCGCATAGATGAATTAGTTTTGTTCTAAAATCCAAGACCTGCTATCTTAAATCTCATTGTTTCTCCCTTTGTGTGAGTTCATCAGATATTCTCCTAACTATTTTATGCAGCATATTTTTTACAAGACAAATTAGACTATTTGTTTAAAATTAATGATAATTTACTTGTCATTTTTTAAAACTATAGATTCGTTTGTGCAGCTGTATCACCAGCTGTGATAGTGCCAAATATGATGCGCCTGGAAGTTACAGGGTGGGGTGTAGCTGAAGGTATACCTACCCTTGTTGTTGCTGCTTCCAGTTTAGATGATGTTGTTGCGATTACTGGATTTGGTGTTGCCCTCGGTGTAGCTTTATCCACAGAAAAAAGTTTAGTGAATACATTATTTTGGGGACCACTTGAAGCAATCATAGGTGCTTCATTTGGGGCAGCAGTGGGAATATTATTACTTTTCTTTCCACCACCAAAACTCGTAAGTCTTCATCAATAATTTAAATTGCAACCTTTACCGTTGATCTTTTAACAGTATTGATTCTTTTTGTGAAAGTGAATGACTGAAACCACTGCAAACATATGATCGAAAACAAAGATGAGAGTTTAGATTATGGCTTTATTATTTTGGCCTTGGTACCTTAGTTGTGAGACATGATGTTATTGTATTCAATAACCAAAGCAAAAGCCGCATTTCCAGGTAGAAATCATATGTATTTGAAAAAATACACGTAAGAAGCAGTAGACGAACTAAAGCTTTAGTAGTGAAGTATAAAATCATAAAACAGAAAACAGTTACCAGTTAACTATTCACTTGACACTTCTGAAATAATGAGAATACAATCGTAACTATCTCCTTTGAATATGTAAAATATTTGATAAAGAGTAATCAAAGACTTACCATGATTAAGATCAAATAAGAAAATCTTCAACGGTGTAATAATCTTCCATATTTACAAGGCCTAAGCTTGTGGATAAATACTTATTAGAGTGTCAGTTATGAGAAACATTTATTAGTAGTTTCGAATAGATCTGGCCTTATAATTACTTTTCCAACTAACCTAGTTTGAACCGATGGTCTGTCACAAATGCATATCAGTAATAGAAAGATTCATGTTCACTAAACATATGTTTTTTAATATTTCAGGAGCATTCCCATTTCATTCGAGGTATACTTCTGGTGTGCTTTGCAATAACTGGGTTAATCGGTTCGGTCGCAATACATTTACCAGGTGGAGGTGCATTGTCATGTTTAACTTTAGCTTTTATCGTGGCAACTGGTTGGCGGAGCGGATTTCCATGGCGTTTAACACAGTCAGCAAGTGTACCAACGGAATCATCATCAAATAATGCACAAAACCAACATTATGAAAATTCAAATTATCAAACGAAACCAAAAACAGATAAACCTAATCTGTCTTCGTCAAGAGATTCTGTCCTTACAAATGAAGACTCTCAAGAAAACCTTAGGATAGCCCCCTCGAAGCTTGAATCCATTGATGAAAAATATAGGCATTCTGATGATGATATTGACTCAGAAAATATGGCGAAGCATCAGAAAGATCTAAACAATCCAAACATACTTGAATCGCTGGTAGAATTTCATCCCTACTATTGCTCAATTTTGCGTCAGCAGTATGGCCAGCATTCATCGGGTGAACATAGTAACCGCAGCAGCCTCCGTAATCGCCTCCCATCTGATGGTGACAGGAAACGAGGAGATCTTCCTTCTTTAGCCGTTGCAGTAGCAGCTACTGGTAATGAGAAAAAAGTAGAGGGATCTTTAGCCAAACAACCTCAACAAAATAGTTACCAGCAACAGACTCAGCAAACATCGACAATCACTTTTCAAAAACCAAAAGCATCTCGAAGATTTAGTCTACCTGAACCTACTGCTCACTACGAACTGGAATCATTTTCCGTGTCTCAGCAGTTTCGCCGAGGAAGGAGTCCATCTAGTGCAAATGCTTTACGTCATATGAACAGGTCAAGGCGTAGAATTCGTAAGTTGATATGATATTGCATGATTTTCGTTACAATGTTTTTAATAATTAAGACTGATTTAATGTATATCGCATCAAATTTTTAATTAAATAGTGTTTTATTTTTGAAGTTACTCAAATCTCATTTTTGTAGTGGTTAATTATGTTACCCTACCATTTTTGTTTAGTTGCACCATTTCCGGATCAGTACTCACCATTTTACAACAACCAACCGGTTGAAAAAGTTGAAGAAGTTGAAGAAAATGATGAATGCTCATCTAACGAAACAGAAAGACCAGATGATGATCATGATGATAACAATTTTGATAGTTCTAATAATCAAGAACAACCTCTCAGTGATGTTGTTGTTCCAGCTACACCTGTTGAACGTGGATTGGCTTGTTTGAATTCAATGAGAAGAACCATGGCAGTCACATGGTGGTTTGTTCAACCTATTCTGTTTTCTTTAATAGGATCAGAAGTAGACATACTACATATGCCTGGTGGTTCAACTGGTAATTTTCTTACTTATATTATTGTTATATATTTGGAATAAAAGTAATTCTATTAAAGTGTACATATTCATTAAAATTAGATTCTTGATGATTTTAGTTGTACTGTTTAAGTATAATGTAAGGGTTTTGGTCCTTAGGACCTACTCCATAATAATACTGAAGATAATTTATCACACTGTCTGTATTTCTTGATGTAGGCAATGTTGTGATATGCGGTGTCTAGAATCTGATGCTGATACACGGTGTGCTATGCGCTAACACCACAACTGACTACTTGAGTAAGGAAGTACATTGGACTAGCGAATGAAATGCACAAATATATATATATATATATATATATAATTCACTTGACCATTATGTTAATTCTGATTGTCATCGATTGACCTTTACATTAGGCTACTTCTTATTGGCTCTCCATATCAGGCAAATCTCGCAGTGTTCCATTCAGTAGACATTTAAAATACAACAAATATGTAAACTAATTTGATGTTATTATAATTTACTTAAAAAGAATCCAGTAAAAAATAAACGAAATTTTGAGTCACAACAGTTAAACTTATAAAATCTAGGCATCAGTAAGTTCTCTTCTTTTCAACTTTACATTTATAACCGATTTCATATGTATTGTCGAGATAAGTAAAGAATATGAGAAAAGTTCATAAAGTTTACTACCATAGCTACTTTAAAAAATCAATATTTGTGGAGATTACTAAGTTTTTGATTGAAATCATGAACCAGTTGATGTTAGACCACCATTGAAAACCTGAAAGCAAGTGACATCCGTTTCGTCCTATTATGGAACTTCTCAGCAGTGCGCATCCATGACCATGCTCTCGGGATTCAAACCCAGGGTCTTCAGACTCGCGTGTGAACGTTTAACCTCTATACCATTAAGCCGGCATCCAACTGTGTTAATGTTTGACCTCAACCAATCCACGAAATTGCGCAACCATCTTCCATTGTACTAAGGTAGATACCTGTCTCTATCCGACACGGATAAGCTCCTCTGGCAACAGCTTCTCACAAGAACTCTGAGAATCCCTTCACGAAGCTAGTCACTGGTGAGTACATTAGGAACATTCTATTGTTTTGAGTTAATATTCAATTTTAGTGATATGGAAGTTGATGAGAAAAAAATTCTATTTATATTAAACTAACAATCAGTTTATAAGAAACTGTAGATCATCTGTTTGCGATTTGTAATGTATAAGAAATTAACCATAAAAATAAATTATTCGAAATCTTTTATAACAAATCAAGTTAAACTGATATCCCATTCAAAGTAAGATGGATAGTGGCTAGCAGTGGAATACAGGATGAGCGTTTCGTCCTATTTGGTACTCGTCAGTCGGATATACCTGCAATCCAGAGCTGATATCGACTCCGTAACTCGAAATCAGTATCGTTCACTTTAAACGCGATCGCGTTCTCCACTAAGCTACTGAGTCTTAATAGCTACCTGCTTGTGTGCTGGGGTAAAGTATAAATTCACTTGGTGTTGTTTTACTTCTATCTTCTCATTGTTGTTAAGAACTGCAGTTGATCAGTCTCATGTTGGCATATGTGGTCGCCGAGTGAACATCAACTCTGGGATACAGGTACATTCAGCTGACGAGTCCCAAACAGGACAAAACACGTATCCTGGATTCTACTGCTAGCCACTATCAATATTTACCTATAGTACTTGTGATTTAAGGCAATATCGAGACAATCGCAACAGGATGCATATATGCCAATACAAGACTGATCAATTGCAGTCTTAAATAACAATCGGAAGATACAAGTAAAACAACACCAAATGAATTTGATATGATCATTCAATACAATTCATTCTTATCAGAATGGGTTTTGTGGAGAGTTTTGGAAATTTTCATAGATTGAAATCATGAGTCAGTTGAAGCTAGACCACCATGGAAAACCTGGAAGCACTGGACGGCCGTTTCGTCCTGGTATGGGACTCCTCAGCAGTGCGCACCCACGATCCCGCACCCAGGACCTACCAGTCTCACGCCAAGTGCTAGACCAACTAGACCACTGAGCCGGCATCCAATGGTGTTAATGTCTAACTTCAATCAATCCACGAAGTTGCGCCACCGTACACCATTGTCTTCAGTGAGTTGATATCTCACAACAGACCTGGTTGAACTCCACTAGTAACGGCTTCTCACTAGAACTCCAGGAATATCTCTTGAAGTCAGTCACTAGTGAGCAGATGATTATTATCAGAAGGGGTTTTGTTGAGATTTTAGAAATTTCACTGATTGAAATCATGAGTTAATTGAAGCTAGACCACCATGGAAAACCTGGAAACACTGAACGGCCGTTTCAAATCTTGCAGGGTGCATGATCGTGGATGCGCACTGCTGAGAAGTGTCATACCAAGACGAAACGGCCGTCCAGTGCATCCAGGTTTTCCATGGTGGTCTAGCTTCAACTGACTCATGATTTCAATCTGTGATAATTCATTCTTATTATCTCGGTTTCTCTCTCTATTTTATATACTTAGATGTAACAATTTGAACTAGTTTATATTCTTCTTATCAAATGGTAGGTTTTAAGCTTTAAATGAAAAATTTATAAGATATTAATTTTCATTGTATATTATTTATTCTATAATCAGAACTTTAATGAGATTTACTTGAAATAGTTCCCAAATTTATTGATCAAATTGGATAAATTTATGTAGAATTCGTTAAAATCTAGCATGAAATAAAATGGGATAATTTTTGTTTTAACAGGTTTTTATTTGTTTGTTTTGTTTTACATGTTACCGTAGGAAAAAAAGAAAACAAACCCCTTTAAGTATAGTTTGAGGGAAAATTAGGAAATTCTTATAGTTGACATCATAACTCAAATGAAGCTAGACCATTATTGAAAACCTGGGAGAGTTGGACGGCTATTTTGTTCTAATATGGAACTCTTCAACAGTGAACATCCACAATCTCATCTAATACAATGAAAGATGATCGGCTAATATAGTGGATTGGTTCAATTTACACATCAACACCATTGAATCTTGGCTCAATGATCTAGAGGTTAAGTGTACACGCGCGTGGTCAAAAGCCGTTTGTTTGAATCCCATGAGCGGGATTGTAGATGCGCAAGTTTTTAATGGTGGTCTAACATCAATCAGTTCATGATCTTAATCAAGAACTTAATAATCTTCAAAACCCAATAATGATAAATATTACAATCTTGAGTTTTACTGTTTAATGATTTTAATTGTTTAATTCCATAGTTCATAGCTTAAACAATTTTAATTCTTTCTTTTATAAATAAAACAGGGATGAAAATTCTATGTATATGAATTATCTACACATGTAGTCTTCTTTTTCTATACACTTCAAGTGATACTATAGTGAACAGAACAAGAGAGTGGGGACAATCGTATGTATTTCACACAACCTTACTGGACTTGTTAATAAAATCTAACAATCATAAAGTATATGCTGAATTTGCAAAATGTCCATCACTTGTCTCATAATGACTCGGACTTCATTGTTCTTGCATTTTCATAGAAATTGCATCCTGTTTCCATTCTTTACTGTTCGATCCTCTTGTGCAGTCAGACCTTCTGTTCATGATTAACATTATATACTACCTATGTCAATATAAGTAGTACACACCACAATACAACTAAATTTGTTTTTGAAAAGAATTTTGCATTGATATTATTATTATTATTATTATTATTATTATTAGCGTTTTCCTGTGGTTCGATAGATCATCAATTATATCTGATATCTATTATCATCTTATTGTTTTTATTCCTTTCAAATACCTTCTTCAGTAATTTATCAGATATAAATTAATTATTGTAATAGTGCAGGTACATCCAGCTGACGAGTCCCAAACAGGACGAAACGCGCGTCCTGGATTCCACTGCTAGCCACTATCCATCTTTGCTTATAGTGTTAAACTTTAGTTTAGATTGGCTTTTATCCAAGTTCATACAATAAAATATATATACTAGCAAACTATTTGATAGTTTAAAGATGATAATCAATTAGATTACTATAAGGTAAATAGATGTCATTTGATATTGTTAACCTTTAAAATTAAACTATCTTCATTATGTATATATATAATGTTTCTCACTTCTATGTGATACTTTTCAAATGAACAATATAAATATAAACTATGCAAATTACAATTATAGTTTACAGGAATCTTCATTTTCAGAACGATGGTTTTTGTAGATTGATGTCGATTGATGTTAGACCACCATAGAAAATCTGGAAGCACTGGATGGTCGTTTCGTCCCATTGTGGGACTCTTCAGCAGTGCTCACTCACGATCCCGCTCGCGGAATTCAAACTTACTGCCACGCGTGCGAACGCCTAACCTCTACATCACTGAGACAAGATTCAGTGGTGTTAATGTGTAACTTGAATCAATCCACTATATTAAGTGACCATCTCCCATTGCATAAGATGAGATTGTGGACGTTCACTGTTGAGGAGTTCTATATTAGAACGCAATGGCCGTGAAAAGCTTTCAGGTTTTCAATGGTGGTTTAACATTGATCAGTTCATGATTTCAATGAGATTTGATTCATGATCTGAACTCAAACTCAGCAGTTGCCATAACCCTACACTGATAATTAGAGTTTGTTACCTGAATCCTATTGACTGATATTAGTTTACGTTGCTTTATCTACTTTCTGTTACTGTAAAATACTAATATGGATTTACTGAATAAATAAGACTATTAAAAAGTGTAGTCTTCTCATTAGTAACAATTAAGCGTCATGAAATGTATGGAGTCAGAGTAAAGAAAAACACAATATGTAAATTAAAGTATTTCAGACGTGAGTGAATAAAAGGTAATTAAATGTTTATTCATCACTAGTAATGATAACTTCAAAGATCAGTTATTAACATAATTATATATTTGAGATTTTCTCATCTTTTCAGTTATATATATTTATTTGACAACTCTATGTGAGCAAGTATACACTATACTACACAATTTGGTCAAATCTGAACTAACTAATTATTAATATGTTTTTTGATTAAGATCATGAATCAATTGATGTTAGACCACCGTTGGAAACCTGGAAGCACTGAACGGCCGTTTCGTCCTAGTATGGGACTCCTCAGCAGTGCGCATCCACGATCCCGCTCCCCCGCGAGATTCGAAGATGGTCGCGCAATTTCGTGGATTGGTTGATGTTAGACACTAACACCATTGGATGCTGGTCTAGTTGGTTAAGCGCCTGGCGCGAAACCGATAGGTCCTGGGACCGAATCTCGCGGGAGCGGGATCGTGGATGCGCACTGCTGAGGAGTCCCATACTAGGACGAAACGGCCGTCCGGTGCTTCCAGGTTTCCAAAGGTGGTCTAACATAAATTGATCCATGATCTTAATAAAAAAACTTAACAATCTCCACAATCCCCATACTGATAATTATTGATATATCCAAGCCAATATATCTTATTCTGATATGAATTACATTTTATTGAACAAATGGTGTTTTTATTACTGTTTACATGAATTCTAAAGCAATGTGCATCCATGACACCGCTCGCGGGATTCGAACCCAGAGCTTTTGGTCACGCGTGTGAACGCCTAACCTCAATTTTCCATCCTAATGGGCAGTTGATTGGAAGTCTATATCTTGCACTTGTCTTCGCCTAACCTCAAGGATTGGCTGAGGTTAGACATCAACACCGTTAGATGCCGGCTCAGTGTTCTAGAGCTCTTGGTCCTGCATACGAGATCATGAATGAGTACTACTGAGTAGTCTCATACTAGGACGAAGCGGTCGTCCAGTGCTTCCAGGTCTTCAATGTTGGTCTAACATCAATCGGTTCATGACCTTAAGAAAAAAATATGATATTGATTATTTATTAATATTTATTCATATTTTCATCGTAGTTTAGTAAGTGAGTAATACGAGCCCATTTTTCAGCTAGAATTCGACTATATGATTAAAATTTGAAATCCTGACTAGACTTGTCATTGGTTATTATTTATCTATAAATAAAAGTGTTTTTAGACAAAATTATTGACATTGACGTGACCTGTTGGTGGGATATGTATTCATCTTGTTGTCAACGACTCACATGTTTGCTCAAAATAACTCTATTTTTAAATTATGTATAGTTTGAAGATAAACTGCTGAACAGCTGAAATTCATGATTATTTATCTGAAGTTAGAATTACTTTGACTTCATAGTCGGTTTTAAGATTTATTTATTACGTAATATGTCGACTTAAAATTGCATGAATTTTTATTGTTTTATTAAATATTAGGACGTGGAATCGGTGCATTCTTACTTGCTCTAGTTGCTCGTTTAGTTGCAACAATGGTAGCTGTTTTGCCGTCAAAGTTAAATATGCGTGAACGTTTGTTTATATCATTTGCGTGGTTACCAAAAGCTACCGTACAAGCAGCTGTTGGACCAGTTGCACTGGATACAGCTAGACAATTGAATTCAAATGCAGAAATAATTGATTGGGGGGAACAGGTGAGTGTTGATTTGCTCCAAAGACTTCTATTGTTGTAAAACAATTTTCTCATGCAAATGATACTAATCATGTTTTCAGTAGTGCTAAGTTGTAAACGTAATTCCAGGAGTTCAAATGAGAAGTATTGACTAATGGAGTTTAATTATGTAGGGCGTGCGAAAAATATTGATAGTTTTAATGGCGTAATAAATGTAAATCAGTGGATAATTGCTCAGTGGTTTAGAGGTTAGGTGCTAGCTGCTAGACCTGAAGGTCCTGAGTTTAATCCATTTTTAGGGTCGTGACTGTATAATTCTGAATAGTCCTATACTAGATCGAAACAACAGTTCAATGTCTTTTGGCTTTCGATGGTCGTCTATGCTCAGTTTATGATGTAAATTATGGTACTTGTGTGTAGTTTGCTGCTTATTTGACTGTTTCTTTCATTAAATAAAGAAGAGCAGAATTGAATGCTTAGTTATTTCACTCCATGTTTCGATAATGCAATGAGAAGACGAAATTTATCAGAATTATGTGATATATTTGGGCAATACGTTTCGAACAATCTGATCACACATATACTTGTTAAGAACATTTATACATGAAAATTAAAAGGTCAACTAGACAGGTTAAAGATAAGTCATGACAAAAAAATAATATTAGAGCACAGAAAAACAAATGTGATCACCACTTTGAATAATAAATCAGTATTACCAGGGTAGTTTAATTGTAAGGACAGATTTTTTGAACTCATAAAGGAGGTTTCAATTTTCGTATATCCAAGGCTTCAATAAACTTTAGTATACGTCCTTGAAGGCTTTTGTATAACATTGCAAATGCTGATTTGATGTCAACCTTTTGACCACTCTCAGTCAAATGTTTCGCAATGGAGGATGATGTCTGTCTATCCTGTGATCTTATTCGACCATTGGAATCCATTTGTTTCTGCAACCATTTTGGTATGTGTTCACCCACCCTTAATTGCAAATCACGATTGCTCCACCATGTTACCAAATCCTTATATTAACTCTTCATGATTTAGTGAAACAAAATCAATGACTGTGTTAATTTATATTTAGTAATCTTTATAATTACAATAATTGGACTCATGAGTCAATTGAAGCTAGACCACCATAGAAAATCTGGAAGCATTGGACGGTCGTCTCGTCCTTGTATGAGACTCCTCAGCAGTGCGCATCCACGATCCCGCTCCCCGCGAGATTCGAACCCGGGATGAAACGGCCGTCCAGTGCTTTCAGGTTTTCCATGGTATAGCTTTAATTGACTCATGATTTCAACTATTGAAATAACTAAAATCTCCACAAAACCCCTTCTGATTCTTTCTAATTACATTGAAATTGCTTAACTGTACGAAGAAATAAAAAAAAGATATGTATCTCTTGACACCTCAGGCCTCCAAAATGATCTTTCACTTTTGAAATAGTTCACTTATTATAATATAAACTATTGATAATTGGATTAACCTAAAAATTCTCCATTTTAGCAAAACGATTTGATATAATAATTAATTACAAAACATTTTGATGTTAGTTTGAATTATACTATTTAAAAGCTTCATTAGAACCACAGTGCGAATACAAAAAACTCTACATAGTGGAAATAAATATTTTCTAATAGTTTATTTCATAGTGGCTGATAAATATTTAATTACGTGAAGGTGGTACGAATAAATCATTCTTTTAAACCGTGTAACTCTTAGAAAAGAGAGCAATGTATGTATGCAAAACTCTGGATTACTTCCAAAATCAAGGAAATCAGTAGGTTTCTTGCACTTAATCATGAATTGCTTGGAAGTAATGTTTATGTATTATATAATAATAGATTGAGCAATGGAAAGTTTTAGTGTATGGTATTTGACAAGTATGGAGGATTGACTAAGTAATGAATCTTTATCTATGGAAATGTTTGAAACAGTTATTTTTTCTTAGTCTGAACACCACTTGATTTAGCGCTCAATGTTGGCTGGAGTCGGAGGTAGATTAGAAATTAGATTGGTGGACTAAACTGGGAAATGTGATCAGTCTTCGTATTTATTACCTGTTATTTTGGTCCATATCATAAGATGTAACCTATTGATCTAGAGTCCATGACTAGTGATTGGAAATATTTACAGATCTATTCATTCTTTGTCCACTAATGGATTCTGATTTCCAAAAAACAACATTTTAATACCGTTTTTTTCCATGAACCCATCTCTCTTCTAGAATTATTATTCATTTTGTCTAATCTTTTTTTAGTATCAGTAATGAATGATTTTACTACTTCGATATTCATCTTAATTTCATATTTCTATGTTTATATAGTGTGACAATTTTAATTGATATACATTTATTACCGAATTATGGGTTATTAGTTGACGTTAATATATTACAGTATTGTCTATAAAATTATGTTATTATTACATTTAGTCATGATTTACTATGTTAGATATATAGATTATGCATATAGTTTTATTAAATCATCTAAACTATAAGTGTTACACTGTAAATTTAGAAAAAAGAATATGACAATTCGTGCTATATTTGTTGTGACTTTAAGTCCGTCTAGTTATCACATAATTTATTCGTTAATCGAAATCCGACTTATTCACTCTTGTACTGTACTAAATAATAACGTTTGCCCGGTCTGATCCGTCTAGCGTCCTTATTGGTCACTTGATCCCCTAGCTCATCCAGTTGAGTCTAGAACATCAATAACAGCTTTCTCCACGCGAATCCTTTATTTCAAACATACTTAGTTTATATACCAGTCAAACAGACCACATCACACCATAAAATAAGAAATAACACATATACAATAAAGCCAAAAAGTGTCTATGGACGTGGGAGACAGTAATTAGTAAACTGGATATAACTTAAGACCAGTAAATCTTATAATAATAAATTATAAGTCAAAATGAAGCTTATAATAAGAAAAATATAAATATATACAATCTAGTTACTGAACTGTTATACAATAGGAATACATATATAAAATTAGTCCATTAATAGATCTCAGAGGTTACTCATAATTTAATCATCACTAGAATATAATAATATTTATGATTATTTTATTTTTTCTTCCTATTTAGGTTGTTACATTGGCTGCAATTTCAATATTAATTACTGCTCCAATAGGTGCTATTTTAATGCCACTTACTGCACCATATTTATTACGTCAAGATATTCAATCATCACAAGTATTAATAGAACGTACTAATCCTAAACATTCACCTAAATCAAATTCTGCTCAATCTACTGATATAATCAATAAAAAAATACATAAATCTGATCAAAACATTCATCATAGTAATAAATCATCTCAATTAAATACTGTACGTAATACAAAATTATAAATCAATTTAATAATATACATGATTATTTCATGTTTACATTTACCTCTTTTCTTCTTTTTTTTGTTTTTGTTTTTGTTTATGATTTAATAGATTTTCTTTTCTTTATTAAAATAAAAAAAAAGAAAAGAAAAGAAATAACTTCACTTACAATTAATTTTTACAATAATACTAAGTAGATAATAGTTAATGATATAAAAGAATAAAATAAAAAATTACGTTTAATCTATTTCAAATTTAGTTTTCTTTTCTTTTTTCTTTCTTTTTCTTTTCTTTCTTTTTTTGATTCATAAAATTTAAAATGTAGCGTTACAATTGATTGGTTTGAAACATACAAACAAACAAAAAAAAAGCAAACATATTACTCTATAGAATTCTTTTTCTCAGTTTTTATTGTACAGTTCCATCATATTTATTAATGTCCTCTCTCTCTCTCTCTTTTTCTCTCTATAGAAACATATCTTATTTAATTTTAATAATCATTTGATAAATTTATATCAGATTCATTCATTTATTCCTTTGTTATGTTCAGTTTAAATTTTGTTCATTGTTTGCATGTTAACATATAGAATATAGTATAGTCATGTAGTAATACAAAATTCATACACATATATATATATTTATATCTATATCTTGATCAGTATTTGTGATTAAGTTATATATCATGTATTGTACAGAAGTCTATTAAGTTTATCAGTTGTTAGAAAGATTATTATCAGAAGGGGGTTTTGTGGAGATTTTAGTAATTTTATAGTTGAAATCACAAGTCATTTGAAGTTGGACCATCATGGAAATCTTGGAAACACTGGACGACCGTTTCGTCCTAGTATAGGAATCCTTAACAGGGAACATCCAATGATTGCGTCTCACGAGATTCGAACGCAAGACAGTGGTAGTTCTAATAAATAGATCTATCTGATTCAGTTTAGCGAATTAGTTTGCATTCACTCTTTCAGAAACGTATTTTGATGATTTCTGTTCATAGGTCTTTTTCTATTATTATTTCATAATATGAAGTACTTACATAATGAAATCTTAGTCGTTCCTAATCTTGTAAATTCGATTAACAAGTTTAATATCTCAGAAAATATTTTTACTGAGCACTTACTTAAATATGATTACATACTTGTATACACGATTATGCATAGAATGAGAACGTTGGACTGTAAGGAAAATTTGATCAGATACATTAGAAACTAATGATCTTTTCGTAAGCAATGATAGATAGTGGTTAGCAGTGAAATCCAGGATGCGCGTTTCGTCCTATTTAGGACTCGATTACAGTCTTAAACCTCGATGGGAAGATACAAGCCAAACAATACCAAGTGAATTTAATGATCTTTAATCATCATAGAACATGAAACATAAATGTTTATATTCAACTATATATTACATTTTAAAATGATAAAGTTTAAAATAATTTAGTTGAAATGAAGAATTATTTTAGTAGTGAACATTATCGTTATTTCATGTATTGACGTTATTATTGTTGAAATTGGCGAGTAACATCTGTCTTTAGAGTACAATTGAAGCAATTAACTTTAACACTGAATTAAAGATAAATTAATTAACTTGTATGAAATCTTTTACTTGCTTATAATTCATAAACGTTAAGATAAATAATTGTGGCAAACAATTTGATTGATGCTATCTACTTGTTAATGATAACTTCATGGTAAGTGATTATGTAATACAATACTTATGTGTAAATAATCGTTTAAATCAAAACACAAAATGAATACTTTATCAATTAGGAAATATACTTGAATAAATGATAACATATGGTTATTCATCGTGTATAATGCGTATATAAGGAAATATGGTAGCTATCCAGATCAGTAGTTTCTACATCATTGATTAATCAGATATATTATGAAGTGAATCAATCAATTATGAAATGATATCAATCAGTGTAAAGAATATGATCTTTATTCACCAACAGAAAACATAAATTACAACATGATAAATTTGAACAAGCCTAAACTGATAACTATCATGTGCTCACTAGTGACTAGTTTACAAAAAGAATTCTTGGAATTTCAGTGTAAAACCGTGACAAGTGAAGTTCAACTATATCGGGTTTGAGGCAGTTACTCATCGAAGACAATGGAAGATATCCGTGAGACATCGTGAATTGGTTAAAATCAAACGTTAACACGGTTGGATCTTGGCTCCGTTTACTAGAGATTTAGATTTCCAGTGCGTAGACCAAAAGTCTTGGGTTCGGATTCCGGATGCGGAGTCGTAGATATGCACCTCTGAGAGGTTCCATACTAGAGTGAAACGACTGTTCAGTCCTTCCAAGCTTTTAGTGGTAGTCTAACATTGATCGATACATTATCTCAATATAAACTCAACAATCTCCGCAAACATATACTGTCAATTAATGAGGCTGGGACAGCACAGATTTATCATTATATTAAATATGGACCAAACGTAAAATATTATAATGTACTTTGGAATGGTTGTTACAAATAAATATCATATAAATTTATTAATTAGTAAGATGCGACGTGATGTTTGTTTGTATGACATAATGATGATAACGTTTAACATGTAATACTTGTTTTTCTCACGTTTAGACCAAAAGATTAGGCTTTTTATAATCATCAAAGGCTTAGGAGAGCCATCTAAAGTTTGTCGACGCATGGCAATTATATCAAATTATGTAAATACAAATTAAGCTTAAAAACAGTTTTTGAAGTATCAAATAAAGATAAGTTTTAGGTTCTCACTATATTCATCTTGATCTGATTTGATTAAGCCTAACAGTAAAGCTAATTCTAAAAATCAGTAAGTCAAGCATAGCAAACTAAGATGATTCTAACTGGTGAGTTTCAAGCACTTAAGATTCATAAACCAATAATAGAATGCTATGCTGAAATTCAGTAGTTGGATTGTTGTTCGAATAACTTTCACTAGATGTTAACTTTAAATGAAGTAAATCAAATCAAGTAACGATAGAGTTAATTGAATAATATGAAACAGAAACAAGAGAAAAATTTATTCTGGTACTATGAAGTAGGAAATGTAGTTATCAAAGTGAATCAAAATTAATCATTGACAGAATATATATGCACTACTACAATGTGAGACGCATATTTTTGTTATCATAGCTTACATTATAGAAATGAAATCTTGATGGCTAATCACGTGCTTACAAATGAGTTACTTCAAGAGGAATTCTTGAAATCTTAATAAGAATTCATAAATAACGGAGTTGTGCCATTTCAGAAGTAAGATAGTCATAAGAAGAGCTTAATAATAATCCGCTTTTTTCACAAGTTGTCCTTAATTTGTGATGTAAAGCAATATGTTCAAACTCATTGTTCTGGCCGTATTCCTCGGAAATCAAAATGTTCTTGGTTTGACCATTCAAGAGTAGTACTGCATAACAAAATAATCATGGATGTCCAATGATGAGAAATTCCGTACTAGGACAAAATGGCCATTCAGTGTTTTAGGTTTTCCATGGTGGTTTAGCTTTAATAGACCCATGAATTCAAGTATTAAAAATTACTACAATATCCACAAACCTCCATTTTGATATATTTAGATGTTCGAATTCCCTAAGACTAAGATCTTATAATACGTTTCGCTATCGATTTAAAACTAGACTGACATTAATCTAGAATACACTTTAGTGTATATAATATTTGAAACAGAGAAAAACGAATTTCTTTAAAACACTCAAACAAACTGGTGTGAATTCAATCAGAGAAACTCTGTCTTTTAATAAAATGGATTTTCCCGCTCATCGATTAATTGAATTATTTACTTGGGAAATCCGACTTACATCGTATTTCTTTGTGGAAAAACCTACCAAGCAGTTGCATTTTAATTATAATGATTAGAAGTTATTTTAAGTGTTTATAATAAACTATAAACTACAACATATGTTTGCAAATATTATCCTTTAAACCAATTGTTTTAAAGTTTCTGATAATCGTTTATACTAATAGTTATTGTAAGAAAACATAGATGGTGGTTAGCAACGGCATCCAGGACGCACGTTTCATCCTATTTGGGACTCGTCAGCTAGAGTCCCGGAGTGAAAACCAACTCTGTGATACAGTTACATCAAACTCACATACTAGATTCCATTGCTAGCCAACATTCATCTTTGCTTACGAATCGTTAATTTCCCTCTGATAGATAATTTCATCAAGTTGCACGAAAAAACATTCAATCATGTACATCTCAATTAGTTTCATGATTACCATCTGATTTTTAACAGCTTAATTATTTCTGTTTTAAACAAAAGTGGGAGTGTTATTATTAATTCCTGTTTTATTATCTATAAGGGTGTATAAGTGTTTTTTCTATGTCTCTCAATAACTGAATATGAACAAAGTTCTGTTTTGCAGTTACTTGAAAACATTATCATCAACATGTCCTAATATTAGAATAGTCAGATCTCTTCTTAGTTTTTGTATATTTGAAGAAGCTTGAGAATAAGTTGTTTAGGATTAAATTGTTATCTTATCTAAGTTTTGTATGTCAATATACATATAGATGTACACATCAATATTATTTTGTAGAAGGTTTATGGAAAAATGAGAATGAAATGGTACTGGGTTCGAGTGTTGGAGTGAACATCAACACTGAAATGCAGTTACATCCAGCTGATGATTCCCAAATAGAACGGAATGCGTGTTCTGAATTGCACTGCTATCCACTCTCCATCTTTGCTTACGATGCTTATGATTTAAGACAATATTGATCCGTACAGGATGCTCATATGCCTATAGGAAATGGAAAGATTCGAACAAACAATCGAAAAATGGATAATAGCTATTATTATCATTATTATAATCGTCATTGTAAATGTTAAAAATTTTTAAATCCTAGTCAATAAACATTCCTTGCGTATAATATGAACAGTAACAACATTAAGTGTGACATTATAATTATTTTACTCATATGATTTTATCTTGATCTACTTCAAGTTTATGATCCAATATAATGCCTGTGTATCGTTAACTAAATTAATCTAGGGGGAG